AATTAAAGCCACCAATCCTCATATACTGCCCACTGTGAAATTCTCCACTCTTCAGGCAGCCCAAACATCTCCTGGCCTTCAGTGGCAGCAGGCAACACACATACCATAGAGATCAGGGTTGCTGCGGATGTACAACCTCACAAAGTTTTTTCCAGGAATCGGTAACAGAGACCCTTTAATTCTGTCGAAGACCTAGAAAACATGGTAGTCCACGTTAGGCTTTTTCTTTTGTATGAGGAATGTAATAAATTCAACCACTGCCAAATTCCACATGCAAACCATCCCTTCTGTCTGACCACTTCCGGTACACAAAGCCACTCACTGCATCTGAACACTGTGGAAACAGCTCAGCTACCCAAAAAGGCCAGGGCTCTGCAACTCTACAAACCTGGTACGTGTCCACATCGAAGAAGGTTTGGTAGTATTCAAACGTCCAGAAGGGGGAGCTCTTCTTCTGTCCGGCAAGTAACTGCAAGAGGTTAAAAAAAAAAAAAAACAGTGAACCGCGACACAATCTCCTAACTGCAGAGAGAGGAGGATGGAGGGAACTAATGGCAAATTAAAATGTCCCACACACCTGCATCCAAAGACCAACACCCAACCCAGCTACACACAGGAATGAACACATCAGACCAGCAGGCTTCAAATCCTGGGCCCCCTGCTATGGGGAAACTTCAGTGAACCCCAAGGCTCCTCTCAGACCCATATTCCCCTACCTAAAAAGATTGGCTAGGGCCGGTATTGAGCCTGGGACGCCGGTATCCCCCATGAGTGCAGTTAGGGTCCCAGCTGCTCCACTTCAGACCCAGCTTTCCACTCATGTGTCCGGGAAAGCAACAGAAGATGGCCAAGTGCTTGGGTCCCTGCCACCCATGTGGGAGTTGCAGATGAAACTCCTGACTTCAGATGGGCCCAACTCCTAGTACTATGGCCATCTGGGGAGAAAAGCAGAGGAGAGAACTGTTGGTCTTGCCCATGCTCTCCGTAACTCTGCCTTTCAATAAACATAGACATCTTAACAAAGAAGAAGAAGAGGGAGCAGAGAATGGCCCAAGCGCCTGGGCCCCTGCCTCCCACGTCAGAGACTGGGATGGAATTCCTGGCTCCTGGCTTCAGCCTGGCTCAGCCCTCGCTGCTGGAGCCACCAGGGAGAATGGAGCAGAAGATGTCTGTCTTCCCCTGAGTGACAGGCTCAGGTGGGAGTGTCTGACTCAAGCACTGCAGGTGCACCGGGTTCTGGGCAGTCAGTCATGATTCAATTCATCAAATAGCAGCAGAAACAGTTTTTCTGAGACCCAGCAATGTACACACGGAAGCCCCCCTCCTCCTGAGCCTGTTACTGTGAACCCACGCAAGCCCACACCTGTTCTCCTTGGAGTTCTCCTCAGCCCATCTCAAGGGCCCATCAAGCCCAGCCCTGGCACAGACAACCCTACTTCTCATCTGTCTCAGGAGCTATGGACTCTGATTCATTTTCTTGCCCAGCCACAGGCTTCTGCACCTTACCTATCTTTATGCCTGGTCTTACTGTTTAAACTCTTTCAACAGCTCCCAGTAGTTGTCAAAACACAGTGCATCCTTGCGGCAAAACCTGGCCTACTGGGAAACCTCATCTCCTGTCTCGACCTACAGTTTGCTTCCAATTTAGGTGAAGATGGGAGGTATTCCTGGGCGTTGGTGTTGTGGTATTGTGGATTAAACCACTACCTGCCATCTTGGAATCCCATGAGCACAAGTTTGAGTCCCAGGTGCTCCATTTCCAATCCAGTGCCCTGCAAATGTTCCTGGGAAGAGTGCAGAGCATGGTCCAGGTGCTCGGGCCATCCCACCCACGTGGGAGACTCAGGGAATTCCAGGCTCCTGGCTTCAGCTTGGCCTAGCCCCAGTTGTTGCAGCCACCTAGAGTGACCCAATGGGAGGAAGTCCTTTCTCTCAATCTCTCTTTTTCTATAACTCTGCCTGTCAAATAAATAAGTAAATTTTTTAAGGCAGTGTTGGTGGTATTCCTCCTCTGTGCCACATAATTTCATGCCTCTGTGACTTCAGCAACAAAGTTCTCTTTGCTAAGGTCACCTACCCTTCACCCTGACCCCCCTCCATTACTCCCCTCTGCTTGTGCCCATTGCACAGACCATAAGGATGCACGTGCCTGTTTCCCCCTGAAAGGCAGAGGCACGCTGTCAGTCTCTGCTGCCACCGCCTGGCACTGTATTGGACATACAGTAGGTGATGAGCAAATGCATTAACAAGTTGTTTTTTTTTTAGAAGATTTATTTATTTTTATTGCAAAGTCAGATATACAGAGAGGAAGATCTTTTGTCTGATGATTCACTCCCCAAGCAGCTGCAATGGCTGGTGCTGTGCTGATCTGAAGCCAAGAGCCTGGAGCCTCTTCTGGGTCTCCCAAATGGGTATAGGGTCCCAAAGCTTTTTGGGTCATTCTCAACAGCTTTCCGAGGCCACAAGCAGCGAGCTTGATGGAAAGCAGAGCAGCCTGGATTAGAACCAGTGCCCAGATGGGATCCTGGTGCATGCAAGGTAAGGACTTCAGCTGCTAGGCTACTGTGCCAGGTCCCATGAACAAGTTTTAAAACATTCATGCCAAAGTGCCTATTCAAATCCAGGCTGCTCTGCTTTGGCCCTAGCTCCCTGCTAATGTACCCAGAAAGGCAGCAGCAGATGGCTCAAGTGCTTGGCCCCAAGCCACCCACAAGGGACCTGGATAAAGTTCCTGGCTCCTGGCTGCAGTCTGGCCCTGCCCCAGCTGTTGTGGCCATTTAGGGAGTGAACCAGTGAATGGAAGATTCTGCCTCTTCTTCCCTCTCTGTCACTTTGTCTTTTTAAATAAACAAATCTTTCAGAAAGAGGGAAAAAAGTTCAAAGACAAGTTCCAACCTCAGTTTTGTCAGAGTCATCATTTCCCAGTAACTCGTCGTCCTCCTCTCTCCCCAGGCCTCCTGGGGGTCCTGCATGGTCGTCTGGGGTCTCAGCAGGCTCTTTAACACTTGGGGCACCAGCAGGGTGGGCTGCTAGAGAAGCGGCGGAATCGCTGAATTCTGGAAGGAATTAGAGCACAAAGCCTTAGAAAAGTTCTGCTGCCAAATTCAACACAAGCCGTCCAACTCAGCTCTGCTGCGGACCCTCTCTGACACAGGCCACAAAAGGCTTCGAAACAAAGCCCCTTCTAGAAGTCAACCCCACACAGAAAAAGGACTGCAAAACCACAGGAAAACGGATTTTAGTCCCGAATCAGCTCCTTCCTAACCATGTGAGCCTAAATAAGCAACATTCTTCATAAACCTCGGTGTGTCCACCTGTAAAATGGAGAGGCCAGTTAGGTCAAAGAACTTGGGGAGAATGAGGAATTTTATCTAAGTAAAATCCTTAGCACGGAATCTGGCTCAACCAAAACCGCCCTCCTGATTTAGTGCAAAAAGAAAAAAAAAATTTTTTTAAGATTTATTTATTTTTCTAAGATTTATTTTTATTTATTTGAAAACCAGAGTTATAGAGGGAGAGGCAGAGAGAAACAGAGGTCTTCCATCCACTGGTTTGTTCTCCAAGTGGCCACAAGAGCTGGACCAGGCCAAAACCAGGAGCCTGGAGCTTCACCCAGGTTTCCCACATGAGTGCAGGGACCCAAGGACTAGGCCCAGCCTTTGCTGCATTAGCAGGGAGCTGGGTGGAAAGTAGAGCAGCTAGGACTCAAACTGGTGTCTATATGGGATGTTGACACTGCAGATGGCAGCTTGATTAGCTATGTCACAATACTGGCCCCAGCTAAAAAATTTGTAATGGAACTTACTTTTTTCCCCAGTGAATTCTATGTAACCACTATACAAAATTTAAGAACAAAAATGAGGGTGGGAGTAATAAACTAAAAATCCTTCTGGGTCCCACCACATAGAGGCAAACACCTTTAATATTTTTGCTCTATTTTGCTTTCTTTACAGAGTGAGACTTGTGCACAGGACACTCTATTATTCATTCAACAAATACCTCCCATGTGCCCACAGGATGCCCCGTATCGCTCTGAGAGGTGATCACACTACCAAAAAGCATTCTGTGATCTGCTTTGTCTACTGGGGATCACCTAGGGGGAAAAATGTCTTCTGGTTGAAGCAGTGTTTGAAACACACAAGGAATGTGGGTGTGCGGGAAGCTGGAGGTTACCTACCAATATAATTAGCAGGTCAAGCAGCACAGACACTTGCAAGGCTCTGGAACCACACTGCAGCGCCACTTTCCAAAAGGACCTTACTGATTTACATCCCCCAGTAACAAGCGCCAGAACCCTCCACGTAGTGTTGCTGCATTTGTGCGAAGCTCCCATTCCTGGCATGGCAAGAGCTGGGGCCCTCACAGAACTGAGTTCACACTGACTGCCTCAGCTACAGGGAGGTCTTCTGGAGAAAACCAAGTGACTAGAATCGGGTGGTTACTATGTAACAGTTACTCAAGCCTCAGCTTCCAGCACTGAGCATCACAGCTCCAGAGCTCCGTGACCTCAGCCACTCACTCCCCTCCTCCCTCTCTGTTTCTTCAGGTATAAACTGTGAGGAATTCCTATCTCAGAGATATATGCAAGAATGATAAATACTTTGGTGGGGAGCAGTGCGGTAGTATACAGGCTAGTCCTCCACCTGCAGGGCTGGTATCCCTTAGGGCGCTAGTTTGAGTCCTAACAACTCCACTTCCCATCCAGCTCCCTGCTAATGGCATGGGAAAATAGCAAAGACTGGCCCAAGGCCTTGGGCTCCTGCAGCCATGTGGGAGACCTGGAAGAAGTTCGCGGCTTCTAGCTTTGGTCTGGTCCAGTTCTGGCCATTATAGCCATTTGGCAAGTGAACCAGGAGATGGATGAGCTCTGTCTCTCCCTCTCTCTCTGTACTCTGACTTACATATTGTTATAGCTGCCATTTATTAACTGGAAAAGGCACTAACTTTTCAAAACATGGCCATGACTTTGCTAGAGAGAATCAGAACAGGGAAGATCCACTCAAATTGCATACCCTCAAAGCAGCAGCTGACCGGTGGGATGACATGCCAGAGCAAGGACAGGGCCACCCTGCTGTGGTCCAGGTTTGGGCCAAATATTTATTTCTTGATTTCTGCCTCTTACTTAAATGACATTTCAAGTATAGACACCAACACGACATAAGCAGGTGGTAAGGTTTATTGAGAGTGAGGACTACAGATATACATGGCCCATGTTCATGGAGAGTGAGCCAGGAAGGGAAACAGTAATGCACAGATGGCTACCTTCCATCCTCACAGTCTATCCACAGGAAGCAAGGGAGGAAGCGGCTGTGCGAGCAAAGTGCTTGAGAGATGAAAAGAGCAAGCCCCTCCCCAGCACGGGCTTTTAAGAGGGCTTGAGAGAGGAGTGGTTATGCAATAACACAACACCACCCCTACTTAAGTCCCAGATAACAATGGGTACGTGCCCTTTGACATACAGGTGGACAAAAAGAATTATACAGGCAGGGGAGTTGTGGCTTCCAAACTAGCAACTCTGTGAACTGGTTGCCTACCAAGTTCCTATCAACATGAGAAATAAGCTCAGGGGAAGCCAAGACCTTGTCCAGAAGACGGGTTTAGCAAAGCCTTCCGGGGACGAGGCCACCTCAGAAGGACAGCCAGAGGTGCTGAGGACAACATCTCATGCCAAGAGGCCAAGCCAGAGGGACTGCAGATGGCACCCCATGGTGATTCTGCACTAGCTGGACTCTCTTGCCCGTCTCTGACCCGAGGGCAAGCAAGGGTCCTGAATTCTACCAGCCACCCTCTCTGCTTAGGCATCCTGGCATACCCAAAGCTACCCTGTGCCACCTTTCCTCTCCTACCATGATCCTGGCAGCCACAGGCTCCTGAACTCTACCTTCCTCATGTGACAGCACCGTTCCTCCAAGGGGAAGCTTCCTGTGACACCACAGCATCGTTGGCAATCCCGCACCACTCCTGTCTCCTGCCCCACAAGCCTCGCTTTGTGCCAGCCTCCCTCACCTGTCACCCAGAACGCAGGACCCTCTTCCACCCTTTGCAGCACACGGCCTTGTGCCTCAAGGACTCTACAAGTGGGGTTCTCTGCCCTTGAACTTTCTCCCACTACACTCCCAGACAGGATGAAGTGACATGAGTCAGCACTGTGGCGTAGTGGATTAAGTTGCTACCTACAATAGCAGTGTCCCCTAAGGGTGTTGATTTCAGACCCAGATGTTCCATTTATGATTCAACTCCGTGCTTATGCCCTGGGAAAGCAGCAGGTGATGGCCCAAGTGTTTGGGCCTCTGAGTGCATGTGCAAAGACCCAAAAGAAGCTCCTGACTTCAGACTGCCCCAGCTCCTACTGTTGCAACCATTTGAGGAGTAAACCAACAGATGAAAGATTTTTCTCTCCCCTCCCTCAAACTCCATTCCTCTCTTTCTCCCTCTGTGCCACTCTGTCTTTCAAATAAACAAATCTTTAAAAAGAAAAAAGGGGCCTGACACGGTAGCCTAGAGGCTAAAGTCCTCGCCTTGTACATGCTGGGATCCCATATGGACACTGGTTCTCCTCCCAGCTGTCCCGCTTCCCATTCTGCACCCTGCTTGTGCCCTGGGAAGGCAGTTAAGGACAACCCAAAGCTTTGGACACGGTACCACATGGGAGACCAGGAAGAGACTCCGGGCTCCTGGATTCAGATCAGTGCAGTTGCAGCCACTTAGGGAGGTCTTCCTCTCTGTCTCTCCTTCTCTCTGTGTATCTGCCTTTCCAATAAAAATAATAAAATAATTTTTTTTAAAAAAAGGATGAAGTACAGAAGAACATAGCAAGGCAGCAAGCATTGTGCCTATAAGCCGGAGGACTGTCCCAAAGAGAAACAGCAAGCACCGCGAGCTGCACGTGTGCAGTGAATGTGGTATGTAAGGAACACGAGCCTGTGTGGTTAGGACAGGGAAAGGACAGGAGCAGCAGAACTGAAATCTTGTGTAGTGGGGGCAGGACCACGTGGGGCCTCCAATGTGAGGTGGGAGCTGGCAGAAGATTCTAGAAAAACAGCAAGACTGGACTTGGCTTTCAAAGGATGATTCAAGGGTGCAGTGTGATGGCTCAGTAGCTAGATCCTTGCCATGCATGCGCCGGAATCCCATATGGGTGCCAATTTGTGTCCCGTCCCAGCTGCTCTGCTTCCCACGCAGCTCCCTGCTTGTGGCCTAGGAAAGCAGTCAAGGATGGCCCAAAGCCTTGGGACCCTGCACCCACGTGGGAAACCCAGAAGAAGCTCCTGGCTCCTGGTTTCAGATTGGCTCAGCTCTAGTATTATGACCACTTGGGGAGTAAACCAGTGTACTGAACATCTTCCTCTCTCCTTCTCTCTATAAATCTGCCTTTCCAATAAAATAGATAAATAAATCTTAAACAAACAAACAAAAAAGCAGAGCTATTGATCATCAGTCAGCAGTGCACATGTATGACTATTAGCTTAATGCACCAAGTTTGCCTGTGAACAGGGACTTAAAAGCAAACAAAAACTGCGACCGACGGAGACCCCCAACGAAAGAGGTAAGTGGGAACATGGACCGGGTCAGAATCAGTGCAGCACATAGCCTTTTTTTTTTTAATGAAAGGTTTTGTTTTTTAAATTAATTAACTTTTATTTATTTATTTTTAAAGATTTATTTATTATTACAAAGTCAGATATACAGAGAGGAGGAGAGACAGAGAGGAAGATCTTCCGTCCAATGATTCACTCCCCAAGTGACCGCAACAGCCAATGCTATGCCGATCTGAAGCCAGGATCTAGGAACTTCTTCCGGGTCTCCCACACAGGTGCAGGGTCCCAAGGCTTTGGGCCGTCCTCAACTGCTTTCCTAGGCCACAAGCAGGGAGCTGGATGAGAAGTGGAGCTGCCGGGATTAGAACCAGTGCCCATATGGGATCCCGGAGCATTCAAGGCGAGGACTTTAGCCACTAGGCCACGCCGCCAGGCCCAGTACATAGCTTTTTATGTGTAACTTTTTAGTGAAAAGTGGAGTAGAAGTAACTAGGCAGCAATAGAAGCTACATGTGTGCATAACCCTTGCCTCCATAACGTGACTGAAAACAAAACTAAAAGTAATAAGAAGAATAAAAGTTGCCCGATTAAATAAATACAAGATTTCCCAGATTTTTCCAGTGAGGAAGACGAGGATGAGATAGAAGAAAAGCAGTTAAGAACCACCCCATGCCACCTTACTCTTAAATCTGATCAATGACATTCCTGAGTGTTCGATATTCCCTGGAGACCTCATGAATTATAGTTGCTTTCCCCAATTATACTTAGTCAAGAAAATAATCAGCCTACATATGAAGGTTTAAATTGTAATGCCATCACAGCTTTTAAAAAGGCTTGTGTGTCCCATGGACCCACTTCTTTATATGTGTGGGAATACTTGAATGGTTGGAGAAGCAAACCAGATCCCCTATGCTTTTGAATAGTGGTAATAGTGAAAATAGGGCCTCCTCCTTCTCAATATTTACAATGGGAAATGTGGGGGAGTGATATGCCTAAGGAAAAACTGCGATCCTTAGGACAAGCATGGCGACAACTCCCCGAGGGTGGTGATCTTACCGTATGTTGGTTGGAGAGAGGCAATGGACTACTGGGCAGCAAACCCAACTACAAGTTGTGCTCACCCATGTACTGGATGCAACGCTGTGTGCCTGGCAAAAAAAAACTGACATTGGGGCTGAATTTGCAGGCAGTTAGGGTCTCTGGTCCCTGGTGAAGTTGCCTTTGTAAAATATAAAATCTTGCTTCTCCCCCATTTCTTGCCCTTCCAAGAACAGGTTCTTCCTAGCTTCATCCCTCAGTCCTAGCTTACGAAACAGAAGGGGATCTGGAGGACAGTTGATTCGATCTGTAGGACAAAGCAGATATTTTCAAGCAAGGGTGTGGCGACAACTGATGGGATCTATAGACAGGCTTTTGGGAACTTCGATACATCAATCAACTCCCTCTTGTTGACATGTAAATTCCAACAAGGCTCTTCTGTGAGCCTCTGTCCATAAAAGCCTGATGCTGCTAGCAAACGTACATGACTCTCTCTCCAGGCATCAGATCCATCACTGCCAGACAGTGAACAGGTCCTGAAAGCAGGTGGAAAGTGCGACTAAGATGGCGACCTCTCTGGGTCCCAACACCTACAACAGGCAGAACTGGGAGGATGCAGACTTCCCTATTCTGTGCCAGACGTGTCTGGGAGAATATCCGAATGACCAAAGAAAAGTATGGAAAGGAATGCAAAATCTGTGCCAGGACCTTCACAATGTTTCACTGGTGCCCCGGGGTCGCATGCATTTCAAGAAGACTGAGGTGTGCCAGACCTGCAGTAAACTGAAGAATGTCAGACGTGCCTCCTAGACCTTGAGTATGGCCTGCCCATCCAGGTTCGTGATGCAGGACTGCCTTTTAAAGATGACATGCCAAGAATGTCAACAAAGAATACTACACACAGAATATGCAGAGAGAAATTTCTAACTCTGATGGGACACGGCCTGTTGGCATGCTGGGGAAGGCCATCTCCACCAGTGACATGCTGCTCAAACTGGCCCAGACCACCCCTTACTTCAAAAGGAATCAGCCCCACATCTGTTCCTTCTGGGTCAAAGGAGAGTGTCAAAGAGGAGAGGAATGTCCCGACAGGCATGAGAAGCCTACAGCTCCAGATGATCCCCTTGCTGATCAGAAGAGCAAAGACTGATATTACGGAATCAACGACCCTGTAGCAGACAAGCTCCTCAAGCAGGCTTCAACGCTGCCCCGTCTGACCCTCCAGAGGACAAGACCATCACCACCCTCTATGTGGGTGGTCTAGGCGACAGCATTACAGAGACAGAGCTAAGAAACCGCTCCTACCAGTTTGGAGAGATCTGGACCATCACTGTCGTGCAGAGAGCAGCATGCCTTAACCCAGTTCGTCACGTGACAAGCTGCAGAAGCGGCTGCACCAAAGTCCTTTTACAAACTGATTGTCAATGGCTGCAGACTCAACATCAAGCGGGGAAGATGGCAGGCAGCCAGAGGAAAAGGAGAAAGATGGAACCACGGAACCTGGGATCAAGCTGGAACTTGTACCGGAACTGCCGGGAGCTCTTCCTCCTGCAGCAGTAGAAGCCTCTGCCAGTGACTTCAACCTGCCCCCAAGCGGTCCTCCAGCTGTGGTGAACATGGCACTGCTGCCACCCCCAGGTGTGGACAGCCCATGTTCCACCCGATGGAACCGCCCCCTCCATTCATGAGGGCCCCGGGATCAATCCACTATCCTTCCCGTGACCCCCAGAGGATGGGCGCCCTTGCCGGCAAACACAGCAGCCCCTAGCACATTCTCAACACCATGGAAAGGGTGCTTACAAATCCCAGTAAATGAATCTTGGAATAAATACATTTTCCTTCCTTAAAATAAATAAATAAACAAATAAGTAAGGTTGACTCTAGCTATAAAGTACAGAGTGAGAGTAGAAGGGAGGAACCAGGAAGCTCAGAAGGAAGATCAGGACCAAAGATGAAGGTGAGCTTAGATCACGCAGCAGCAGTGGCAGAGGTAGGGCAGTCAGACAGGACATGCGGCAGCAGTAAAAGTGCCGCGTGGGATGCTAGCACCCCACATTGCAGCAACCGTAGCATGGGGATCCCCGACCCTCTTTCTGACTCTGGCTTCCTACTGGTGCGTACCTTTAGGAGGCAGCTCCATCACCGCATGGGAGACCACAAAGAGCTCCAAGGTCCTGGCCTCAGCCTGGCCCGGCCCTGGCTACTGTAGGCATTTGGAGTGGGCAACCCACGGATGGAAGATCTCTGTGTCTTTGCCTTTTATGTAAATAATAAACTATTTTTTAAAAAAATAAAGAGAGGGTATGGTGCTGTAGCCTAGTAGCTAAAGTCCTTGCCTTGCATACACCAAGATCCCATAGTTCCCTGCCTGTAGCCTGGGAAAGCAGTCGAGGATGGCCTAAAGCCTTGGGACCCTGTACTTGCATGAGAGACCCAGAATATCTGCCTTTCCAATAAAAATAAAAAAATATTTTTAAAAATGTACTTATTTATTTGAAATGCAGGAGAAAGAGATCTTCCCACTGCTGGTTCACAACAGTCACATTTGGGGTCAGGTGGATGCCAGCAGCCAGAAACTCCATCCAGGTCTGCCACAGGTGCAGCAGAAACCCAAGCATTTGGGCCATCCCGGGCTCATCAGCACGGAGCTGGAAGGGAAGCAGAGCAGCTGGGACTCCAACCAGCACTCTAACGTGGGATGCTGGCATAGCAAGTGGTGGCTTAGCTTGTTGCACCACAACACAGCCCCTTACTCATCTCACCTTGAGAACCACAAGTGCCTGTGTGAGGCCCCACTCAGGCGACACCTGCTGATTATCCTTCATCACGTTCTTCTCCACAACGTCGTCCGTCCTACCAGTGTGCACACCTACCTTTGTAACCTCCACCCTCTAACACCACACCTAATGCCAGGCAGACATTCACGTACTGGCCAATGTTTGCTGAACTTGTAAAGAACTCTATAAACATCATCCGGAATTGCTGTGGCACACTGACAACGACTAACTGAGAAGGTCACTCGGTAAAACAAACAGCCAGAGCCTTGACGGGGCAGGGGCACTGTGGCTCAGTCCTTGCAACGGAGCTCCTTTCTGAGGGAGGAGGTACAGCAAGGCAAAGCCACTGCTGGAGGGAGAGGAGGTAGGCAGGCGGCTACAACAAGGGGAGACCCCAACCCATATACCTTCAAACTGCAAGTCATCCACGGCCGCCATTCAGCAAGCAGGCCTTCTCCCAAGCGGGACGAAGGGGCTCTGCAGGGGTCTAAAAGGAAAAACAGAAGCAGACTTAGAGTAACAGCGAAGCACCTGCCAGCAAGCCCTGTTTCAGCATGAGAAACACTCCTGCTTTTGCAGTGGGGGTCTGGTGGGTTGACTGAAAGATAACCCTTAAACATTAGACAATGCAAAAACTAAGCAACAAATCCTGGAGGTCCAAAGGTTCCAGCCAGGGGCTTCTGTCTGTGGCACCAGCATCCCATCAGCTGCCAGTTCGAGTCCTAGCTGTTCCATTTCTGATCCAGTTCCCTGTTTACAGCTTGGGAAAGCATCAGAGAGTGGCCCAAGTCCTTGGGCCCCTGCAACCAAAGATTCCATCCAGTCTCATGCTGTGTGGACGCTGAGGAATAGGTGCAGACTGGAGAGAGAGATGACAAGGGCAGCTAGTTCAGCCTGGCCAGTGGGCCTGGGCACAGGCTCTGGGGTTCACACAGACCCTGGGTTTGATTCTCAAGTCTGCGGCCTTTCTGTAGGGCATGCATTTGGCGAGGCCTCAGTTTTCCTCGTCTGCACAACGGGTTCGTTAGGGTATCTGGAAGAAGAGCAGAGTCACTAAATTCAAGTCTGCTAAGGCCCTAGAAGCTGTAGCCGGCACAATGAGGGGAGGTTGGAGCCTGGGACACCGCGGGGCGAAGGAAGGAGCTGGGCCGCAGCAGCCTGAGCGAACGGCAGACCCCAAAGCCCTTACGCAGCCCCGGCCGCCTCACCTCGCGGTGCTTGGCGTCCAACCTGTCCCGGGAAGAATCGGCCCAGAGCTGCTCCGCCTGGGTCAGGTGCAGCCGAGGAGTCGGAAGCCGGAGATCCGGGGTGGGGCGAGTCCTCCTTCTCCTCCTCCTCCTCCTTCTCCTCCTCCTCCTTCTCCCGGCAGAGCCCCGCCTTGTTAAAGAGGCCGCCGCACCCGGAGAAGAGGCTCCGCGGAGCCTGCGCGGGTGCCGCCCCTCCCGAGACCGACCCCCCGCGTCTGAGGGCGGCGCGCGCAGCGGGCTCCGCGGGATGTCCAGCACGCAGAGTCTGCTCTCTGGGTTTTTGCCTCTGTTCTTCAAGCCGGCTTGGAGACACCCGTGTCACTGGCCCACAGGAGCGTGGGCAGTAGAGGACACGTGTGCTGGAGCCAAGGGAGTCGGGCAGGAGCGCCGCAGGGCCGGACAAAGTCTGCAGTTGTACTCGGGCCGGGCAGGCTGCTCTGTGCATCCTGCATCCCGCCCTCGAGGGATGCTCCTGCATCCCGCCCTCGAGGGCGAGGAGCGAGGTGATGGGGGCGGCAGCGGTGGCCTTGGTTTCCTTTGATCCCCGTGGTATCTCACGACTACCTGGAAAGCGGCAGGCAGCGGGTAAACCACGGGGGCGCTGCGCCCCTGGGGCTGCCGGCACTATTGCAGCTCTGGTCCCCTGGGTTTTTTCTGGTCTGTGGGTCGCCAGCATTCCGCCCAGGGCGCAGGCACTCAGCGGCTGCTCCCCAAACACCAATTAGAGGGAACAGGCTCTCGCCAGCGGAGCAGGCAGAACCTGTATTCTTCCTCCCGCCAGCTGGCTAGGCGTTACATCGACCGATAATTGCAGGTTGAGCCATTGTGCCAACCCCAAGCCTTTATTTATTTTTTTTTAAAGATTTATTTATGTAAGAGAGAAAGAGAATCTGTTTATTTGCTTACTAGCCAAATGCCCATAAAACTCTCTGCCTGCTTGGGAGCTAAGAACTCCTTCTAGGTCTGCTAGAAACCCCATTATACCTCCCAGGGTCTGTGTTAGCAGGAAGCTGAGTCAGAAGCCAGAGCTGGGCATCAAGTGCAGGTTGGGATATGAGTATCTTAACTGGCATTTTAAGTGCAAGGCCAAATGTCCATCCCTCAAAGCCTTATTTTGCTTTATAATACAAAATAACTGTTTTATTTCTTTATTTTTATTTTGTTTAAAGGATAGAATCAGCCTTGAGAGATCTTCCATCCACTGGTTCATTCCCCAAACGCCTGCGGCCAGAGCCAGGCCAGGTGGAAGCCAGGAGCTTAGAGCTCAATCTGGGCCTCCCGTATGGCCGACTGGGCCCCAGGTGCTGCTGCCTTGCCAGGATGTGCATTGACAAGAAGCCAGTTGACAAGGAGAGTAGCAGAGTCTTGAAGCAGGCATGCCAACACAGGACGCAGGTTAACGCAGGAGTCACTTAGGCTAAGCAAATGGAGTCACTTAAGCTAATAGGGATTCTGAGGTCTTTCAATGGATTGAGTAATTGGTCTCCTGCCATCGATATAGGAAACCTGGGTTGATTTGCGAACACCCAGCTTTGGCCCCGGCCCAGCCCTGGTCATTGTGGCATTTAGAGAGTGAACCAGCAGATGGCTCTCTCTCTTTCTCTCTCTCTCTGTCAAACACACACACACACACACACACACACACACACACACACACACACACACACACACACACACACACACACACACACACACACACACACACACACACACACACACACACACACACACACGTCTTTGTGTACCCAACCAACCTCTAACCCTACCCCAGTCCCACCTTTGTCTCCCAGATAAACTAATTAAATGTTTCAATAAATAACACATCAAAGAAGAAATCTCAAGAGAAATGATTTTTGAAACTAGGTAGGCACTTGGTATAGCAGCTGAGACTCCATCTGGGAAGCCTGCACTGAATGTTAAGACTCAGCTCTACTGCACATCCAGCTCCCTGCTAAGGTGTACTCGGGGAGGCAGGAGGGGACAGCTCAGCTGCACGGGTCACTGCTACCCATGTACAAGACTTCAGTGGAGTTCTGGATTCCTGATTTTGGCCTGGCCCAGGCCCAACAGTTACAGGCATTTGGGGAAAAAAAACTAGCAGATGGAAGATGTGTGTCTGATTTCTGTCTCTTTCTCTCAGTTTTTCAGATATAAATAAATAACTTAGTTAATTCATACACATATATATATATTTGAGATTTATTTATTTTATTGGAAAGGCAGATGTTCAGAAAGGAGGAGAGACAGAGAGGAAGATCTTCCATCCGATGATTCACTCTCCAATGGTATTGTGCCGATCTGAAACCAGGAGCCAGGAACTTCCCTCCAGATCTCCCACACGGGTTTGGGCAGTCCTTGACTGCTTTCCCAGGCCACAGGCAGGGAGCTGGATGGGAAGTGGAGCTGCCGGGATTAGAACTGGCGCCCATATGGGATCCTGGCATGTTCAAGGTGAGGACCTTAACCATTATGCTATCGCACCCTAATTCATGAACATTTTATATGGAGAGGCCAATGACCCAGAATAGTCAACATTATGGTAAAGGAGACAAGATTAAAGAACATACACTGTGTGACTTAAAGACATGTTATAAAGCTGCAATCATCAAGACAGTGTGGTCCTGGGGAAAGAATAGACACACTTATCAACATAGCTACATTGTCACACAAGCATAAGTTTCACTGCCTTACAACTCTTATGTGTTCCATTGACCCATTCCTCTCCAAACTCCAATACCTGGACAGTCCAGATTCTTGCATATCTCTATTATTTGAGGCCCAGAATGATGGCTCAATTGGCTAATCCTCCACCTCCAAGCACCACGATCCCACATGGGCACAAGCTCATGTCCTGGCAACTCTGCTTCCCTTCCAGCTCCCACCTTGTGGCCTGGAAAAACAATAGAGGACGTCCCAAAGCCTCAGGACCCTGAACCTCTGTGGGAGACCTGGAAGGAACTCCTGGCTTTTGGCTTTGGATCAGCTCGGCTCTGATCATTGCAGCATCTTGGGGGTGAACCAGCAGATAGAAGATCTTTCTGTCTCTCCTTCTCTCTGTAAATCTTCCCTTCCAATAAAAATAAATATTTTTTTAAAAAATCACATTTTCTCCTATCATCTCTTCTAGGAGTGTCATAATTTTGGGCTCTACATTTAAGTCTGCAAGTGAATCTGGATTAATTTTTTATTATTATTATTTGAAAGTCAGATATTCAGAGAGGACGAGAGACAGAGAGGAAGATCTTCCGCCCGATGATTCACTCGCCAAGTGAACGCAATGGCCGATGCTGTGCCGATCCGAAGCCAGGAGCCAGAAACTTCTTCTGGGCCTCCCACATGGGTGCAGGGTCCCAAGGCGTTGGGCCGTCCTCGACTGCTTCCCAGGCCACAAGGAGGGAGCTGGATGGGAATTGGGGCAGCTGGGATTAGAACTGGCACCCCTATGGGATCCTGGCGTGTGCAAGGTAAGGACTTACGCTGTGAGGCTACCGTACTAGACCCTGCAATAGCTCTTTTAAGAGAGTCTCTTTAAGTGTGATTTTTTAAGTGCTTGCCAGAAAAAAATTCATCAGAAGTTGAATTTAGGATTTGGAATCTTCTAGTCCGAGAGTCTCTGCAAAGCTAAGGCAAAGAATCTGCAGTGACCCTAGTTAAACAGACCCCTGTGCACCTGGCTTAGAACTGTTCATGTTATTGATGACAAGGCAAATACCTGCTGGCCTGGCACCTTCCCCTTGTCCAGGGTTGACTGCTCCCACCCTGTACCTTTGTTCGACTCCACCCAGTGTCTCCTGGCTGCAACCTGCCTGTCTGGCAGTCTCAGAGGCCACTCCAGCTGGACCGAGATGGCATGGCCCCAGGTCAGGCTGTGGCTGAGGAGGCTCTGGGTGCTGGTGCAGGTGGCTGCAGAAGTGGCCCTGGGCAAGGTGCTGATGACACTCTTTCCAGAGCGAGTGAAACAGAACATCCTGGCCATGGGCCAGAAAACTGGTTTGGCCCAGAACCCCCTCTTCACCCATGACAACTGGATCCCCACCTTCTTCAGCATCCAGTATTTTTGGTTCATCCTGAAGGTTCGTTGGCAGCGACTGGAGGATGCCACTGAGCCAGGAGGTCTGGCCCCAAACTGCCCCGTGGTCTGCCTCTCGGGACAGGAGTGCCACATCTGGGACTTCATGCAAGGTCAGCAGGTGGTGGGAGGGTGCTGGCAACAGTAGCGGTGGAAGGAGACATGCAGGAGACTGGGATTTGTGGGCAAATTCTGAATCCATCTGCTACTCCTGCTAATTCTCTGGGGCTTCTAGGCCTCAAGAAAGTATGAATTCTCCTTAAATTTTCTTCTCTCTCTTTCTCTCAGTGCCAGCCCCACCTTCCCAGGCCCTCTGGCCCAGCAGTCTTTGGGCGCAGCTCCCAGGCTGCAGTCTGCTGAACCAAGGATGCTCTGCGGCTGTCTCCTCCCTATACCTTTCTTGAGGTAGTTGTGTGTGGCCATCTGCTTCATGTCCATTGCCTTTCTTGTAATGTGCAAACTCCTTGCAGGCAGAAAGTACTGCTCTAACTCACTATTGTGAATAGTCACTCACTAAGACCTTGTTGGAGAGAGTCCCCACCCCAGCCCTCCTAACCCAGCAAAGCAGCTGCATCTCTTTCTGTTCTGTTCTGAAAGCTCTCTGATTGCTTTTCTCTTTGGTGTATTCACAGCTCTCTACCTGCCAGGACTTCCTCCTCCCTGTCTTGCCCTCTCTTGTAAGCCATCTTATAAATAGCTGTAGGTCACTCCACAACCATCAGGGGCTCCCACCTGCCTTCAGAGCAATAGCAGAGCTCAGCCTTGCAGTCAAGGTGCTCCCTGGTCAGGCTCAGTTTTTCTGCCCACTTTCCATCCAAGTTTCTGTTCTTGATCACTCCTCCAGATAACCGGATGGGCTTTGTCCACCCCAGTGCCATCCCTCTGGTTTGCTTTTGCCAATATCATTGGCTGGTCTGGAACATCCTCCTCTGTCTTGAAAGTCTGTGGGCCCCCTTGCTGCAAGCCTCTTTTTCCGTGA